GCTCCGGAGGCCCCCCCTCCGCCTCCGGCCGGGAGGATGGGGGAGCAGCGGAGAAGCGAGGGGGCCGAGCTGGACCTATTTGGAGAGATCCTTGCACCGACACGGACCCCTTTGCTCGTCGGGCTGCCCTCCACACCCCCTGCAGACCCCTCTCCATCTTCGGTGCTGGGACTCCTCTCCCAGCCTCTCCACCTTCCACTCTCCACATGCCCCTCTCTCGGCCTCAACTAGTTTCTTTATCTCATTGCCTGGCGTGGTGGTTTGTCTCGGCTTCCTGCGCCCTCTACTCCCAAAACAGTCCCCTTCTGCTCTCTCAAAGGTCCTTTGTCAGTTTGTTTCCTTGGCCCTATCTCCTCCCCCTTCCTTTTTTTCTCTTTTCAGCACAGATGATTGCTCTCTACGGGGTCTGAGGGGTTCCTTTCTTTTCCCCAGGATCCTATAAAAGAAGAAGGGGTGGGCTAGGGGGTAGTTTAGCGAAGTCTCACTTGGAAGACGGAGGGGGCTGTGTGAAAGCCCTTGAGGGGCTGGAAATGAGGTCACTTTAAAATGGGAGAGTGGGACTGGCCTGATTGTAGGAAGTCACATAGGAAGGGTAGACATAAACGTTGAGAGCAAGAAGTGAAATTTGGGGTCAAGGAACTCCTCGCTCCTTGTGGGAAAGGGCAGTGGCGAGAGAGACAGACTGGGAGGAGGATACCGCCAAGCAGAAGGGTGGCCGACCGCTCGTGCCATTTTGGCAGATGTTGGGGACATTCCTATCAACCATCCTGTGTTCAGTGGCACAACCGAAATGGAGGGAAAGGATGTGTGTGTCTGCACACTCTCTAACCCTGTTCATCTGGGTGACAGAGCAATAGTTCCACTTTCATCTCTATCTGACCCCTGACGTACTCACCCACCCCTCCCTTAGGCTTCCTGGTGGACAAGCCCTTGATCTTTGGATGTCCTTCTTGTATGACAATCCTGGGCAGCATTCCTGTTTTCTTCACGCCGGGATGAAGCTCTAGCCCTGGCTGGGACACATTCGTAGTGCCCCTCTCCATGGTAAGTGCCTATTGGTGGGGCCCAGCTGGTCTTCAGTGAGCAGAACGTTCACAGTGAAAGAATGGGGCTCTGATCGCTGTCCATGGTTCTGAAAAAGTCGCCAGGGACATCATATTGGCCATGGTCTGCCTGGGACATCAAAGTAAGAGCTTGAGACCACACAGGCCTCAGAGTGAGGTCCCAATGGGATGTCCCCTCTTCCTCTGAGGATGAATATGGGAGAGGGTACCAGGGGCCAAGATTTCTGAGCTCTAGGAGTGAAGGAAGCATGGGGGGAGAACGGGGTTCAAGGGAAGAGCCTGTGGATTTTTCCAAGAGAATAGACTGGGGGAAAGAGAGACACTCGAAGGGAAGAAGGGTCTAGAAATGGACAAAAGAGGGAGTAAAAAAAGGTTCATCCTAGTTCGCCCACTCCGATTCAAGTTGAGAAGCTCTGAATGCCCCAATGTCTCCTCTCTCTAGGCTAACTCCCACTCCCTTTTCCTCCCACCTCCATGGAGCTATTTTTAACAGTGAAGAACCAAAAATAGTTTGGCAGAAGCTTCAGGCCGTGGGAGAGGAGCTATTTATATCACCAGTGACAGTTCCAAAATAGCAAGCAGAAGGAGGGGGGCGGCTGGCACACTAGAGAGCTCCTGGCTGCTGCTAAAAATACTGGCAGTGTGAGTCATCCTGGCCTGGCTGAGTCACCCCACTCCTCCCCCCCTCCATGCCCCAAGCAGCAGCAGCAGCAGCAGAATAGGCTACAGCCGCTGCAGAACAGGCTAAGAGTTGGAAGCCCGAGGTGGGGGTGGTGTCAGAGCCCATAAACTATAGGGAAGTGGGCAAGAGAGTGAATTGAGAGAGGGGCTTTAGAGTGAGTATGTAGAAGAAATACAGAGAGCAGGAGCACTCCAGCCAAATGCACTGGGTGAGCCTGTAGCGTTCCCAGCTATGCACTGCTGTTCGGCTATGCTCGGGCCGTTAAAGGGAGGGAGCTAGACTGTGAGAGTGTGCGTGTATGTGTGTCTGTCCATTGAACCATGACTGCATTTGTATGTTTTTGTCTGTCTGCACATGTCTTTGTAGTGGTGTGTCTGTATCCCTATGTATCTATGCCTGTCTTTATAAAAAATGTCTCTGACTTCTTGTGTTGTATGTAGTTCTATGTTTGTGCCTGCCTGCCTGTATTTTTATTTTTTGCAGCTTTCTATGTGCCACCTTGTCCGTGTGTGTGTTTGTCTCCACATCTGAGTCTGCCCTGGGCCTTTCTCAGCATCCCATGTGGTATGGATTTGCATGTATCCCCAGCCTCAATGCACCTTCTGTTGCTGTCCTCTCTGATGTCACTTGTTGGGCTCTTGCAGCACCTCTCTCCTAACTAACTCTCACCTAACTAACCTCTCTCCACCCAGCATCTTTTCTTTTCAGCCCTTGGACCCCAATCATTTGTGAAGTTCTCTCTGCTGCATGCAGTCTCTAGTAAAAGGATGGAAGACAGGAACCCCATATGACCTCTCCCTTTTCCCTGAACAGTCCCGAAGCTTCCCTGGCCTGCAGGAGAAGTGGTTTTTCTTCACTCCATATTTGGGGAGCTGAGGGAAGAGGACTTTCTTCAGTTCTAAAAAAATGTCCTGGTGTGGGCACAGGCATGTATGGCATATGCACGCGCGCACACACACATACACAGCTAAGAGAGAGAATGGGAGAAAAAAATATCAAGGTCCCTTCTTTACTGAGAGGAGCTCGCATCTGTTGCCATAGCAACCCGCCCACTCCTTCCCCGAAAAATCACCAAGAAGAGGTGATGGCATTGAGGAGGGATTGGCTGATTTCTTTCTTTATTATTTTTTCCGAAAAAGGACTTTTTATAGCAAGAACAGGCCGTGAGAACCCTTGCCCATATCTTTCCATAGCTTTATTGGGATATAGAGGGACATCACCCCTCAACATCTATCAGAGAAGAGGAGGTGTATCTTTTCCACAGATTTGGGGGACAATGATCTCCTGGGAGAGAGCTGGAGGATAAGTAGAGTCTGCTCCTTTAGAACAGCCCTGATTAGGGCTGCTTTTCTGGAGACTTGGGGCAAGGAATTGGACAAAGGGCTGTCAAGGTGTATCCTGTCTTGGCCAGGACAGATGTATTTATGAGAAGGAGAAAGAGGGCGGAAGAGAATCACACACACACACACACACAGAATGAGTGAATATCACATGAGTATCACTGGCTGGGTCTTCAGAGCACATGACAAGATGCCAAGGAATGCAAACTCTCAGTGGTGGTCAGACAATTCGACAAGATGACTCAAGAAAGATCCACTAATGCAGTTGGTGCTGCTGCAGTCTCCTGTGGTGAGGTCACAGGTGTGGCTACTTGACTTGCACCCCTGGGAACTGGGGCCATGGGCGAAAAATTGGGGGAGCATGGGAGCTTACCTTTCTTCATGTTAGTCCCAGCCTGAATCTCAAAGGCCCCTTCTAAAGCCTGGCCACCAGTGCCTGCAGCCATGTGACTTTCTCAAGTGAACTGTAGCCTCCTGCCAAAGGACAGGATAGGGGAGAGGAAGGGATTCCATGCTTCTACCTGCGCTTGGCTGGCTACAGACATGGGGCCGAAGGCTGGAAAGCCAGACCAAGAATCCGACTCTAGAGAGAAGCATCTCCCTCTTCCAGCGGGCTGCTGCCATCCTCAGCAGTCAAGGGCATGGCCTGGGGCGGGGGGTTAGCTCTGAAGTGATGGAACAGAGGGATGAAAGGACGTCAGATTTGCTCTGATCCATTAGACTATTCTCATGACAAATCAGACTCACATTATTATGCCTATTTGATGGATGGTGAACCTGAGGCTCAGAAACAGGCAAGTACTGCCTAGTCGGGTGTGGCTCAGCGGTTGAACATCGGCCCAGGAACCAAGAGGTCACCGGGTTCAATTCCCGGTCAGGACACATACTCAGGTTTCAGGCTTGATCCCAGTGTGGGGCGTGCAGGAGGAAGCTGATCAATGATTCTCTCTAATCATTGATGTTTCTATCTCTCTCCCCTCTCCCTTCCTCTCTCTGAAGTTAATTAAAAAAAAAGAAACAGGCAATTATTTACTCCATGTTACACAGCAAGTCGGCTCTTTTTCTTGCATTATGGGGTACAGCTGTGGTCTTCAAATGCTGGCCTGCATGCCAAATATGGCCCACTGAGTGATTTTGTAAATAAAGTTTTATTGACACACAGCTACATCCCTACCATCTATGGCTGTTCTCACCCCACAATGGCAGAGCTGAGCAGTTGAGACTGTATGTCCTGGAAAGCCTAAATTATTTACTAACGGGCCCTTTACAGAAAACGTTTTCCATCTTTTAGAGTTGAGGATGAGTTCAAACTAGGACTATCTTTGCATGTCTCTACTTTTCTCACCCAGAAGCTCTCTGGGCCCAGGGCATACTAAGCTATCATTTCATCTCTTTACTCTTTCCAGTGCCATGGAGCAATAGTGTCCTGCACTCCTTAAGAGTGGAGAGATGGCCCTGGCCGGTTTGGCTCAGTGGATAGAGCGTCGGCCTGCGGACTCAAGGGTCCCAGGTTCGATTCCGGTCAAGGGCATGTACCTTGGTTGCGGGCACATCCCCAGTGGGGAGTGTGCAGGAGGCGGCTGATCAATGTTTCTCTCTCATCGATGTTTCTAACTCTCTATCCCTCTCCCTTCCTCTCTGTAAAAAATCAATAAAATATATCTAAAAAAAAAAAAAGAGTGGAGAGATGGGGAAGCCCTCTGGAATAGGCTCCTCACTAGCTTCCAGCCTTTTTGTAGCTGTGTAGATATAGCCTCCCCATACAGGAGTGATGCTCCACATTCTGTTTCCATGGCAACATAAGTTGGAATTGGCAATGGAGAGTCAGGGTAGTCCATTCTATCCCTATAACCCCAGCCTCAGGACCGCATTTCAGGAAGGCGGGGAGGGTGTCCCACAGTTAGTGATAAAGGTACTATCAGGGAAAAAGTCCCAGTGGGAAGAAAATGACAGCACTGTGGGGCCTCAGGCCTCCTGGAGCCTCCGGTTTAACCCAGGGGAAGACTCTCTATGCACCTTCTCAGAAAGGTTTAGCAACTTGCCCAGGGTCACATGGCTAGAAGGAGAGGAATCCAGAGTTGGAATTCAGGTTTCCTGATTTCTACTTCTTTCTATTTTTTACTAGATTGTTCATTTGAAGTTATGGGTGTAAAGGTTTTCTAACAGATTCCCAAGCGTTCCCCCCCACCCCCCACCCCAGTTCAGGGCCTAGGGCTCAGCAGTCCATGCGTGAAAGTGTCACCCTCAGAGAGCTGGTCTGTGCAATGGCTGTCTTGTCTTCATCTGCATCATAGCAGGCGGTTTTTCTTTCTCCTAAGGCCCTTTCATTATGTTTTCACTTCCCCAGTTCTCCTTGCACTGAGAAGTATTCAGAACATTTTATCTATTTATGGTTATGAAACCAACAAATCTCATGTGAAGAGGGTACACGTTGGCACCCACGTGTTGAGACAGTCAGGGCCCGGTGAATGGGCTGAGCAGAGAAGGTGAGGGGCATGGAACCATGGAGGGGACGGGAGGGGGAGAGAGTAGCTCAGGTGGGAAAAGATGAAGCTTTTCTGGGCAAAGACCTGAAGGCAGGGCTGAGAGACGGGGGCACAAGGAATGCCGTGAGGAGCGAGTCAACCCAGCCATATATCCCCCATGGGAGAGAAAAGCCATCAGCTGAAAACTCTCCAAATGCAGAGCAGAGCCCAACGCTCCTCAGCACCGTGGGAGAGACAGGAGTGCAGGGCATTGGCCGTGACCCACAGGAGCGGGAGGTCGGGAGGAGGAGACAGACCTTCTACCATTCATCTATTAGATCGGCCCAGTGCTCCCCCCACCGCTCTCCACTTGGTGTAGTCCTACTTGCCCTGCTTGTCCTCCATTTGTGCCTGGGGCTCCTCCTCAATGCCCGCCCCCCCCCACGGCCCCTTGTGCTTCCTCGTCCTGCATCATCATGGCTTGTCTACTTGTCTGTCTCCTCCACCTGCATCTCCGTCTGGTCTCCAGGGTCTCGGGGTCAGCATAGGGCCCGTCTACCTGGGCCTCAGTATGGAATCCCCTCATGCACACATGCCCGAGGGCTGAGTCTGTGCCAGGCTCTGGCAATGCAATGGTTGGGTCACACACACCCGGTCTTAACCTCATGGAGCATCCGGGCTAGTGAGAAGTGAGAACTGGATCGAGCCATGTACGCGGCAGGAGGTCTGCAGGGTGTTTGGGGAGAGCAAAGGAGGAGATGTGGAGAGATGGGGAAGCTGCGTGTCAAGGGATCGTTTGACGGGGCGAGGCTGTGCTGGGCTGGGTGTTTGTGGGGGGTGGACAGTGGAGGGCAGCCCTGGAAATGAGACTGCATGGGCTCAGGTAGCCACAAAGGAGGCCACAAAGGAGGCCGCAGCAGCCTGTTAACAGATGTGCGGTGCGAAGGCCAAGAGGGCCCATGCAGCTGACGGCGGCTGAGGCCCCAGCTCGGCCAGGCGGTTTGGCTCCGGTGCTACAGGCAGGACAGAGATGAGACGGCTCAGTCTGAGCACAGGGGTCTATGGGGAAAAGACTAAGTTCTTTGTGGACAGGCAGGCGGGCAGGAGGCAGAGAGGGCAGAGGTGGGGGGGCTCTGGGGTGAGACGCCCACGTGGAGTCCTGGCTCCTCACATTGGGCAAGTGGCTTGACCTCTCGTGCCTCAGTTTATCTATCTGCTAAACAGGCGTGTGAAGAGAGAAACAGTGGCTACATCAAAGGATGAATGAGAAAACGAAGTCAAAGCTCTTGGAACAGTGCCTGGCACGCAAAGGAGCACAATAAACGTTGAATGATGAAATGTTAGTCATTATTTTCACTTTATGAAAAATATAATTTCAAACAAGGCTCTGAAGAGATGGCCTGGGCTGCTTCAGGAGGCAGCGCTTGCCCTGTCACTCTAAGTGTGGGAACAGGGCCTGGGCACCCACTGGCTCTTTGCAGCCTTGGCCCAGTTTGGTCTGTGAGTACCAGATGGGCTGGGCCAGACCGGAGCTGCAGAGGTTTTGTCCACAACACCACCCTGAGGGGCCAGCCTGGTCCCCGTGTGCTCCTTCCGTGGACGGCACTGGCTCATGCACGGCTCAGCAAGTCCAGGGAAGGAAGCCCCACACGCCCCTCCGGTCTCAGCCCCCGAGTTCCCCTGAAGCAAACCTGACCGTGTTCTTCCCCAGCTTAAAACCTGCATGGTTCCCATCGCTCCCCATTACCAAAAGTCCCCATAGTCCTGCTGTCCCCTCCTACTCACAGGTGCCTAGGCTCCAGGTTCAAGGGTCTCCTTGCTACCACCTGAATCCACCTGGTAACATGAGCGCTTACAGATGCAGCACTTCCTGGACCTTATATCCCTAATGCGTACATTCACCCCATCCAAACCTCACAGCATCCCTGTGACGTCTGGGCTGTTCTTACTCCCACAAGCCCTGGGCCCAGTGGAGAGGAAGTCTGTAGGGAATGGTCCATGGGATCTCAGGAAAGATGGAAAGGATTAAAGGCCGCGGTGATCATGGGAAAGCAGTAGGCCTGGGACCAGGCCAGTGATAGAAGGGAAGTCCTAGAAGCAACCCAGAGACCCCCAAGCGCAGGGGGACAAGGCTCCCCACTAATGGGAATGCTGGAACTCAGGGAAAGGGCTGGACCACGGCAAGGAGAGGGTAGTGGCCTATTGATGGCGCAGCTTCTAGAAGCAGAAAAAGATGGGCCTTCCACGCAGATGGGGAGGGGAGACCAGGAAGCTTTAAGAGGAAAGACCACCCGGCTGAAGGAAACGCTCCTGAATCCCCCAGCACACAAAGGAGGCGGGCTGGAGGGGCCTCAGTCAGGACTCAAAGACCCGGGAAGAGTTGGAGGTAGGCTCAGGCCAGATGCTGGCGGATTGTGTTTGGGTGGGAGGATCAGGAGACATGGATTCTGGTCCTAGCTCTGCCATCAGCCTACTGGCGTGTTATGCAAGTTCCTTCCCTTCTCTGGGCCTCAGTTTCCTTATTTGCAAAGGGACAGTGGGTTGGACCACTTGGCCTGGAAGGGCCCTCCCACCTCTGGCAGTCTGAGCATCTCTGGGGCCCAGGTCCACCCAGCCAGTGCCTCTCAGTCTGAGGACCAAGTTTCAGGTGGGGATGAGCCCGTGTGCCCAGTGCTAGGGTCTGAGTGGGCCTGAAGTCCCAGAGCGCCACGTCCTTGGCCCTCGATGAACAGGGCCACTTTGGGTCCTAGGGACCTGGCTGTGTGGAGGGAGGGAGAACAGGTATTGGTGCTGACCCTGTGGTTTTCCTTCTTCAAACCCAACCTACCAGGGGCTGTTCTCACAGGTCTGTGCCAGGTGCATCAGGGACTCACCATTGGAGAGATGCGATGGGTTTTACGGGGTATAAAACAGGTCATCCTCAGAGAGGCCTGCCCCGCTGTGGCTGAAGTAACTCCGGCCTGCGTATTCCTTGGCTTCAGTCCGCTGGGAGGAGCAAACAGCACAGAAGTGTCCCACAGACCGCCACAGAGAGACTCCACAGCCTGGCAAGACACCCCATTTCAGAGAATCCCAGGCGCACAGTTGGAGCGGGGCCCCCAGAGATCATCCACTTGGAGTGACAGCCTAGCGCAGAGATGGAGTCGCTCGGGCAACACGGCCAACACTTAGCACAGGTGGACCCTGCGCCAGGTCCCTCTCACGGCGTGGGGGCCTTTGTGCACCTCTCAAGGCTGGCCTCTGGGAGGAGGTGAAGAGAAAGAGCCTGGGCCGAGAGGCAGAGCTTGGGGTCCCAGTCTCAACAACGCACCGACTCGCCGTGTGACCTCGGTAAGTAACGTCTCTTGGAAGGCTGCCTCAGTTTCCCCTTCTGTGCATTGAAGGACCAGCCCTGGCCATGGATGCCCCTTGGAAAAGCCATTCGAGGCTCAGGGCTAACTGCTCCAGAGCATGAGTCTCTCTCCTTTGCCAGACTTGGTCCCCACAGCTGGGCTGGATCCGATCCACCTCTGGTCCCAGCCCTGGTCCAGAGGAAGGGCCCAGAGATGTCTAGCGCCCACGAAGCTCCTTGCGCCTGGTCACGTACTTCACAGCTGTCTTCCAGAGTCCTGGTCAAATGCCCCCGAGGGTGCGGCAGGAAGGGTACAGGCGTTGTCAGGCTTGGGCAGGGAAGTCCAAGGAGTTGGGCCCACATGGCCCTGGGAGCCCGGCCAGAGCCTGCAGGCCACACCTCCATTCAGAGGCCAACTGGCACTTGTAAGCAGCCTGGAAAAGGTCTGGCTCAGGAAAGTTCCAGAGAGTGGTGGGCTGCAGGAAGCCTTTGACGGAAGCAGATGTTCACAAGCAGCAACCTGGTTGGTTGGTCATAGAGTCCATGGTGATCCAGAAGCTCCTCCAGAGTGAGATGGATCCAGAAAGCCCACCCGGGTCTGGACTCTGCTGGGGAAGAAACAGCAGCGGGTGCCGCCGTGGGTAGGGGAGCCTCTACTGCGTGCAGGGCAGGGGCCGGAGACTGGCATTGGGTGCCGGCTATTTTTAATGTCAAGGAACAGGAGAATGACCTCCGTCTGGGAAGTCAGCATCCTTGGGCTCCGGCCCATGCTCTCCAGGAACAAGCATGCCACCTGAGCCCGGTTAAGTCACCACTTTTCTCTGGGCCTCAGTTTCCCTTTCAGTTGAATGAGAGGGTTGGGGAACCTGCTAAGGGCCTTCTAGCTAAATCCTAACCTGACCTCAGGCTGAGCCCAAGGAGAAGAGGGAAGGCAGAAGGCTGGAGGGGGCGCGGGTCTCCAGGGGCCCACGGTGGCCTCCCGGGCAGTGAAGTCCTCACCTGGTCACCCTGCGGCCTTGTCCAGAGAGGATCCCCACACGCGCTAGGCCTGGCATCCTGTTTCCTTCCAAGATTCCTATGGAACAGGAGTTTCCCCTGTTGAGAGAGTGGGGAGTGGGGGTGGGCGAGGGACAAGGGCAGGACCTCCTTTCTCCATGGCTGAAATTTCCCTAAAGTGAGTGGAGGGGGCTATGGTGGAGGGGGGGGGGATGGTGCAAGGGGCTTCCCGAGCCCAGCTCCCGAGCCGCTCTCGCTGCTCGCGGGCGGGGGCAGCTCCCTGGCTCTGGCGGAGCCGCCACTCCGTCAGTTGCCTTTAAAGGCGCCAGCGCGCGCGCATCAGCAGAAGAGCTGCGGCTCTCTTCCAAAATAGGCAAGAACTGGGAAGCCACGGGAGACCGACTGCGAGCAGCGCCGACGTCACCCGGGGCCTCCCTCCCCACCGCCTGCATCAGGTCTCCATGGCAACGGCGTACCACGACTGCAGATGAATGAGCTGCACGAGAGGTGGAGCGCGCGCTCCCTCTGTCTGGCGTCCCGGCCCGAGGCTGCACTGGGGAAGGGAATGCCGACCCGGCGCTAGGAGGAAGGGAGCGCTCTCCTATTTAAAAAAAACTCCAATACCTTTTTGTGTCCCAGGAACCCAAGAGCTGCTCGGTCCAGGGACCCCCAAGCCTTTGGTTCAGGGCTCCTCAGCTCCCAGGGTTCCCCTTTATCCCCATCTCCCCTCTCACTTCATTAGCTCTCTGTTCCCCAAACTCTGCGGAAAAGCAGACATCGTGGGCTTAAGGCGCCACCGCGTGGCCGCTAGTGGCGCTGTGTCAGGGATGCTTGTGGCTGTGGTCCCTTCGTCTATGTCGCCCTCTGGTGTTTGCGAGAGGGAAGAGCATAAAATATCTCAGTCTTCACATTAGGACCCTAATTAACAAAGACCTGTTGACTTTCGTTAATGTTTATAGTGAATGCTCCCCAGGTGCCAGACACCGCTGAGTGCTTTCTGGTATCACTTCATTTCGTTCTCACAGCAACCCTGCAATGTAGATGATGATGATGATGATGGGGAGGAGGAGGTGGAGGAGGAGGAGGAGGAGGATTGTGATTACTACTATGACTGCGGCCATTTTACAGGTGAGAAAAGCAAGCTGAGAGAAGTTGTGGCTTGCCTAAGATCCCACAACTGTAAGGGGCAGAATTGCCACCTGAACTCATGATTGTGTGCACAATGCTTGACCCCTCCCTTCCAAACCCATGGTCTCCGCTGATTCACTTCAGAGTCGCTTGCGATAAGCAGGACAGCACTTATTAAAGTTATTCCCATTTTACAGATAAGGAGACAAGGCTTATAGAAGTGAGATGTTTCGCTGGAAGTTTCCGCAGCCATGGATAGAGTGCAGGTCTCTAGGCCTGATCTGGGGATTTTTAGGATGAGGTGGCAGGATAACGGGGCGTATACAGCACTCCCCTGTGAGACCTTACTCCTTCAGGACAGACTGAGGAGCTAGCCCATCCAGAGGCAAATGCAGCAGCCAAGGCCAGGCGAGGGCAGGGACTCTTCCCCCATCCCCAGGGCTTTGAGAGCTCATGGCAGCTACATGCTCCATTTCCTCCCCGTATGTGAGGATAAACACTTCCTGGCCTCAGCTTGCTGCCCTGCTTTCCAGTGAATAACTGTCCTCAGGTCTATTGCCTCCTTCCATTTCCTCCCCGTATGTGAGGATAAACACTTCCTGCCCTGCTTTCCAGTGAATAACTGTCCTCAGGTCTGTTGCCTTCCTGTATTCCTGCAAAGATGCTGACTCCATGCAAGTCTCTGGGCGTTGTTGGGGTTAATTCTTACCGGCTTGTATTTTGGGATGAACGGGAACACCTTGTCCTCTAGGTTTGTTGCAAACTTTGACCAGGTGATTGGGTTTATTAGCTAGTTCCTCTGATTTTAAGTGGTGATTTATGGAGATTTAAAATCTGTCCCTGCTGCCGCTGCTGTCCTCCCCATTACTCTTAGCTAACCCACTTGGAGATGCTAAGGATTTGCGTGTAAACCATTAAAAGGAACGCAAAGGACCAGTGTTTGCAATGTCTAAATCTCCAGTTGAAGGCACTGCTGCCAGCGTGATTTAGGTTTATCAGGAATTTATAGCAACCCAATAGCTACAAGGCATGTTGTCCCCATGTGGGTGACAGCAACTCCACTTATTAGACCTGGACTTCCAAGCCTGCAATGGCCATTTTTGTTCCATTCAAAGGGCACCAGGTCAGTCAACATCTTTCCTTCACCCTGGGTGGCTCTGCTGTTTTCCCATGAGCTCGTTAACAGGATTTGCTGCCATTCCGGCAACCCTGAGAGGGTGGCAGAGATCCATCCAGAAGTCACCTTTATCCAGACTTCCCCAGATGTGTCCCCTAGTAGCTTCTCCTAAATGCTTTCCTACTGCTTCCTCCAGCTGCTGACTGGTATTGGGGTGCCCTGCGAAGCCATGGCCCGTGTGGCCTGGGTTCAGAGGCCTGGAAGGTAATAACATGCAGATATTCAGCCTTCTGAATATCAAAGCCCTATTCAGCCTTCTGACTGGACTTCTCCCATTTGTATTAATTACTGTTGATCTTGGCTTCCAGAAGTGCCCCCTCTTTCTGACTCCAAGGTTTCTCTTACAAGGGTTGTGTTTAGTTATCCACATAGACTCTCCCTGTCTCCTGACACAAATGTCCTGTTGAGCAGCCAGTGGCTCCCAGTGCAACAGTTGGGATCTGTTGGTAAATTCCCTATCCACTCACCATTCCACCGCTGGGTTATGAGCACCCATGTGTAATCTCCCACCCACCCCATCTCTAAACCCATGGCTTCCGGGGCTGTGTTCCACACCCAAGGTTTTAGCTTGTCGCGGCAGTGGGAGTGGAGATGGGCACAGAGATGTGGCCTCTCAGCTGTGGTTTTCCATGGTTATTCAGTTCTGATCTCATCCAGGCAGGGCCAAGAACTGTCCTGTGGGTATTTTCAATTGGAGCCATAGCTAGTAAATTCTTATAAACCAGCCATACTCCCCGTGCACATAGGCTACTAGTTGAGGATAAATTTTCCACGTTCTATCTACAGTCAGTGAGGCCAATCTTTGTGGCATTGTACCCATTTCGATTTGTTCATCCTTTAGGTTCTGTATCAGTTAGCTATTGTTTTGTAACAAGCCTACAACCCGGGCATGTGCCCTGACCAGCAATCAATCTCCTAGTTCAGTGGTCGGCAAACTCATTAGTCAACAGAGCCAAATATCAACAGTACTTCTTCAAAATAGACTCGCCCAGGCCGAAAACCGACTTCTGCGCATGGGCCACGAAGTTTCAATCGCACTGTACGCACGCCCGCACGTGGTATTTTGTAGAAGAGCCACACTCAAGGGGCCAAAGAGCCGCATGTGGCTCGTGAGCCGCAGTTTGCCGACCATGGTCCTAGTTCATAGGTTGACGCTCAACCACTGAGCCACACCGGCTGGGCTGTTTTTATTGGCTTTAGAGAGAGAGGAAGAAAGAGGGAGAGAGAAACATCGATGTGAGAAACATCTACTGGGTGTGTTCGGTTACCTCCTGTGTGCACCCTGTACTCTTCCCAACCAGGAACTGAACTTGCAACCTGGGCATGTGCCCTGACCAGGAATCAAACCGGTGACCTTTAGGTGCATGGGATGACACTGAACCAGCTGAGCCACACCCGCCAGGGCTATAAGGCATGTGCCCTGACCAGGAATCAAACTGGTGACCTTTAGGTGCATGGGGTGACACTCAACCAGCTGAGCCACACCCGCCAGGGCTATAGTTTTGTTTTTATCATATATGTGTGTACCCTTAAGTAATATATTGCCTAATTTTGCCTGCTTTTGAATTTTATATAATCACAGACACACTGTATGTGTTTTTCTACAACTTGCTTTTTAAAAAATTCAATATATTTTTGGAGGGTGTATCAATCAGGAGATAGAAACCAGACCAGTAATTTATATAGAAAATATTAATATAGAAAATTGTTCATAAGTAAACAGGCTTAAGTACTAAGAGGGCTAGTAGAAAACTTAAAGTCCTTAGGACTAGTCAATGAATAAGTAGCTACTACCTCTAGCGCTGAGAAGAGCACACAAAGACGGAATAACTGGGAAGAGCCCTCCCCCAACCAAGGCTGAAACCAGCTGCTGGGTGCTGGCACGCCTCCCTGGGAAGACAGCTGCTGGCTGCATGTGGGAGAAGAAAGAATAAAAGCACCAGGACCAGGAAGACAAGCCTTTTCCTCTTGCAGGGTCCAGCCAGTGTCTACCAGTCGGTCCAACGTGGCAGCTGGCGGAAACGAGGCATTCACAGCGCCCAGCTCCTGCATCGCGACGCAGGGCAGACGGGTTGATGGGAGCCGAGAGGCGACCAGCGAGTAACTGGCACCAGGCCTCATCTGTATGCTGCTTGTGGCTGTGCCTCATGCGTTTGCACTGCATGGCCTCCAGATGTGAATATCCCACTTGGTTGGTATATCCTCCTGTTGCTAGACACCTGGGTAGTGTCCCTTTCTCCGCCAGCGTGAACATTGCCACCCTGGTCGTTCTTGCCCATGTCTTCCGATGCCCATGTGCAAGGGCTGCAGGGACGGTGCTACCGACAGGTGTACCGATGGGCGTCCTGGGATAGTGTTCTTGTCAGCCCTTGGGGTGGCTGGGTGGCCACCTCCTCGTTGGACTCCATGTGCGATGACATCTTGTGGTTTCTCTCTGTATCGTGTCTAAGGAAGGCGGGGAGATGCTGCTTCAGGGCTACTTAGAGTGAAGCTTCGGGTTGTCGGGCATAAAAGTCCTGTTTTTGTAATGACTCCAAAGTGTCCCCTAAGCGGTTGAATTCGTGTCCTTCCAACACCGTGTGAAAGCTGCTTTGTACCCTCACCAGCACTTGGCATTGAAGACTGTGGGTCTGCTGGGTGTGGAGGGGTATCTCTCCTGGTCACCCCAGCTGTTTCCCCGAATGCTGACGAGGTCGAACAACTTTCCATGTTTATAGACCGTATGTTTTTCTTCTGCGATGCTTGTTCACGGTTTCTGCTTAGTTTTTAATTTCCCTTATTGATAAGTATTATG